GGCTTGCGCCCGTCTCCTCAGCCCGCAGGGAGGCGCGAACGGCCGGGCTATAAAAGTTGTGTGTCTATCCGCACCAGGAAATACACTGAGGGAGCCCCGTAGGTCTCTGGGCCGGCAGCGTGCCGCCACAGGAAACATCATTTGTACTGATACATTTTTGCTTTCACCAGCGTTCTCATCAGGAGCTGGAGCTCACGCAGTGGTTAGGGATGGGGGAAGAACAGCTTTGGCTTCGGTCCTCCGAGGCGAAGGGCTTGGAGCCGCTGTGACCTCCGGGTCAGGGACAACCAGTCCCTGCCGAGCAGAAGCAGCTCTGGGCTGTGGGTTTGGCGAGGGTCCCGCTGCCCGAGCGCTGCCCTGGGGGCCCCCGCGCTCCTTGTCCTCTTTGCCCCCCTGCTCTTCCTGTGCGTGGTGTGGAAAGGAGAAAGCAAGGTTCAAAGGGTGTGAAAGCGGTGGCAGGGATGGACCCTGCCGTCCCCTGTGGAACTGCTGCCCATCATCCTGCTGTAAATCATCCCGCAAACCCTACTCGCACCCTAAGCTCACACCCCCAGGGCTGCGCTGGAGAATTATCCCTCCGTTCTCAGCTGCTGTCGAAACCCTAAGAAATCAGCAGTACCTGAGAAGAGAAAATAAAACCCTGCAACCACACTGCAGTAGGAAGAACTTCATCTAACCCAGCGATGCTACGGCCCCCCTGAGCCGTGTTTTATAATCACAGCCTAAGTGGTTTGAAATAAGGAGAGCAGAAAGCACAATGTTCCCTCGCTGTGCCTCCGAGGGAAATGTCCCCGCATCTCTGTGTCACCCCATGGAAACAAGATCGCTCCCCAGGAACGTCCTAATCCAACAGAAGGAGAATTGAATCAGATTTTTTTAATAGCGGTCCATTAGACTGCATTTCTCCCTGTCATATCGGCTCCTTCTGACAGAGACGGTACACAGAGGCTCCTGAAATTGTGGGTGGGTTCTCAGTGGTGGGTAAATAGCTCATATCTAAATATAGACCTAGGAGCGATAGAAATTGGGTTTGAAATATATGTTGAGCTTCTGAAAATGGGATCCTCCGCTGTAACAACACCGAGTTAACCGAACAGGCGTATCGGAGACAGACCCGCCATGATATGGGAGCGCGGCTCATGGGGATATAATTGTCGTAAAGTGTATGGAAGAGAGATACAATTAGGTGGACGTGGATCATCCAGATGAAGTGATACAAAGGTACACGAGGGAGGGGCGGCATCACCGGCCCCGAGGAGCCTCAGCTGAGCGAGACACGGAGTCTGTCAGACAGGCTTATCGCAACTGCCGCTCCCGTCTGGGTCGAGCCGCTTTCCTCTGGAGACACAACTGAAGGAGAGAGCTCGGGCGTTATTCTTTCTCCCTAGAAAAACTGCTGTTCTCACAAGGTGTTACCATTTTACAGAAATACCTCACTTCCAGGGCCAGGGTTGCAAGAAAGGTTTCTGGAGGCTGGGACGGGATTGATTGAGGAAGGAAGCCCAGCCCACAGCACGCTTTGGGCAGCAGAATATCCCAGTTTACAACTGAAAAAAAGCATCATTTCAGTCTGGGTCAGATGCGCCCCATCCCGTGCAGATACCCCTCCTGCATCTCCCACCGGCACCTGCCAGAGCATCGCAGAGGAGCTGAGGAATCCCTCCTTGGCTAGGTATGATAAAACTGTGGGGAAAACCCCGATTTTGCCATATTTCAGCTTCACCGTTGAGGTTACATCTGGTAAAACCTGGCACAGCTCCACTGGCTTGAGAGGAAATGCATCACTTTAAACAGCCAGCGATAGAGACTTCTGTCTGCCAAGGTCCTAACCGCTTCCTCGTGCTGCCTCGGGTTAGGAGAGAAACGCAGAAATTAAAATTCCTCAGCTGATGAGTCACAGCTTAAAAGACACCTTGGGGGAGTGCTGGGCCAGATCACCGCAGGGCTGGGCCCTCCTGACAGACATTTAATCTGATTTCAGTCCTCCCGGCCTGCTCCTTCCAAGGGAGGACTCTTCTCCTCCTGGATTTTTCCACCTTCGCGTCAGTCGCCATCGCCGTGGGTCTCTGCAGCGCCCGGTTCAGCGGCACCGGTCCGTTTTGGAGGGGGTTTTGGCACCAGGAAAAGGCAAGGCAGCACCTGAAAGCAGCCCTGGAGAGGATGGCGCTTTCTAGGCCATGAGAAACTCCCCCCGGGCCCAGGCACGATAAAGAGCACTCTGCCTGTGCTTTAGGTATATGTGTATGAATAATTAAGGTGCCAGATGGCCCTTGAGCCCCTGGCCTAGATATAAACATCTAATTACATTTGGTGTCCGTGGGAGCAGGGTATCCAGGTCCCTCTGTAAAGCTGGGCTCATCCCGGGTGTTATAGAACCAAAGAAACTTGGTTTTTGTCCTGCAAAAACTTTTCTCTAGGGGTTTAACTGTGCGTCTCCTGTTCAAACCCCAGCAGGAGACGATCGCAGAGGAACAGGTCAGTCCGAGGGAGGAGGGGAAGCGCAGAGAGCTCCCTGGCAGGATCCCAAAGCCCCCGCTCTGAGCCCCGCTGATCGACACAGGCAGGAGACTTGCGAGCATCTCGACTGGGGAAGGCGTTTGCTTGTTTGCAGTTCTGCATTCAGACGAGCTGCCTGTCTTCCTGGAGATGCGCTTGCATCCCAGCTGGCCATTAGAGACATCGAAATACATTAGCTTCACTTAGGCGAGGCCACAAGAGCCCTCCCGGGAGCCGAGCTGCCAGCCCAGAAGCGAGCTGTCGCGCACTCTGACCCGGCGAGGAGGCGAAAGCTTCCCTCCGACGGTCGCTGCAATCCTCCGGACGACGGTCTCCGGGGCCGCCCAGTCCTCGCCTTCGCCAGCAGAACAAAAAAAAAATCAAAACCTGGAGAACGTCCACCCTGCGGGACGCCGGTGAGGTTTGGCAACGAACCTCAAGGCAGCTCCCGGTACCTCGAGGAAAGCCAGGAGAGAGCCGGTTTCTTTCTGCAGCTGGGAAAGTGACGTCTGGCAGCCTCGCAGGGACGGGGTCAAGCTCAAGCCTCCTCAGCCTCTCCTGCTCCAGGCTTCAGCTCTGCTCAGCACCGTCCCCGAGGGCTTTGGGGCCCGACTTTTGCGGCGGATCCCCAAGCGGGGTGATCCCTGCACCCCGCCGCCCTCCCCGTTCCGTTGCCGGGAGAGGGCAGGGGCAGCCCGGGAATTGCCGGGGCCCGATCCGGCCCTGAGCTGGACCCCGGCGCAGCCCCTCCTGACCCCCCGCCGCTCCCTTTTCTTCTCCATTTCATCTCTTTTCTTCCGCTGCGCGGGGAGTGCTGGAGTTTAATAAGTAATGAAGGAATTTATGGAGCCATTAGCGCAGTAATTGTTCGCTTTCCACCTAATATTCAGAGATTAATGGAGAGGGAAAAATAAACCCCCGAAGTACAGGGAGGATTAAGGCAGGATGGGGGATCCAGGATCACTTTGCAGGTCCACATTCTTTCCCAAAGGCCAGTGTCCTGCGGGCGGCTGGCGCATGGACACGAATCTGTAATTACAAGGATTTGAGCACCCAGGGACCCTCCGTGCTCTTGGCTCCTGCCCTTTCCCGTCCCCAGCTGCTCTCCCTGGGACACGCTGAGGATGGCCCCACTCAGGACAGCGATGTTCGTACGAGATGAAGGCATCCGATCCTGGGTGCCCACCCCTGGTCCCTCCTGGCAGGGCCCTGCAGCTCCTCCTGTGGGGACACAGCCTGGGGAAGCCAAGCAGCGCCCTGGGAAGCTGTGTACATCCACGGGCCTCAGGCGGTTTGGCTCATGTCCGTCTCCGGTCCATCTGCCCCCTGCAAGCTGGTGCCTTTGCCTTCCAATCGCTACCTGTGCTCGGAGGAGCCCAACTTTCCATCCTACTTCACTCAGAGGCCTTTTTGCTGAGAGGGAGCAGTCTGGTCTGTCATCACGCTGTGCCTCGGTTTCCCTCTCTGAGAGCAGGGAGGAAAACGAAGCCGTCCTCCCGGGGAGGAGCAGCATGGCCGGAAGGACTCAGCCCATCTGTGCTGACGCCGAGCAGAGATGAGACTCACCACAATCCAGGCTGGAGCCTGCGCTCGAGCCACTGCCGTGTCACTGCCACGTGACAC